TATGAGAGTAGCCTGCAAGTCGGCCTTCTTTTAAACCAAGGATCAGCCTAATTCCCGTATTATTGCGCTAGCCTGGCCGATTCGCGCGCCTATTTACAGTTTCTGCCTGTCATCACAGATTAATAGTTACCTTGAGAAACCAGCTTCTTAACTCTGCTTACCTAACTCACCTGCAGAGCATACTGAACGGACTACTCTGACAGTAAAACGCCTTGTTTTGATCAGGCGCCAATGCAGTGTCATTCATTAGACAGAGAATCCACTGTGCGCATGAGCTTAAGAGTGGAATGACAGGAAAACGACGAGTCATCTGCGTACATCCCCAACCGCTGCGACTTCCGCTGATCTAACGTGTAAAGCGCACCGTAATCGAATGCTGCAGTTTATTATATATTATCACCAGATGAACCGTTTATTCGTTAAAATGGGTCTCGAACAAACTGTTGCTTGCTGGACACTATTGCCCAAGTTCAATGAAAGCCTGAAATTCGGAAGTATCGATCCCGATGTTGCCAGTTTAGAGACATGCTAGCGCAGCTATCTGGAATTTTAATAAAACAATACCAGATTGCGTTTCGATGCCCACTGTTCAAACCACAAATATAAATAATCCTTATTCAGGCCAATTTAGTTGAAATGCCTCGTGAATTCTGAACAGAAAGCAGTGGTATGCAACTGATTTCATTTGTCCTTCAGACATAAAATTCACTTTTTTCGACAAAGTCTGAGAACAAGGTGACATGACACACCCTCCATTGACAGTAACAAAGCGCTTGTTTAAATATGACGTAACCAATTATCGTTTTTCCTACCCGATCAAACCAGCACAAGCCGTGTTTAATTCCTCGCTCGCCTGTTCATCACTGATGATTTTCTCGACGAACTGCAGAAGTGGGAACATGTGTTGTTGAATCAGCGCGAATTCACCTGCCACAGCACAGACGGTCACAATCAGTGGAACGAACCTGCGTACTCATGACTAAATATTACTTGCTAACAGTTGTTCATT